AATGGGCTAGAATTCAAAGCGGGCTGGATATTAATTTCACGACAATCACGCATTCTGGGAGACGATCAGGCAAAACTGGTGCTTACAAGGGAAAGATGAGTAGCTTTGAAGTAGAAGCTCGCCGAAGTACCCTTCTTTGAAGATATCAGTCCGTACCGCTAAGAAAACACAACACCTCACCATTAAAATATCATATTCGACTGTATTTTTGTTTAATCTCTGTACCAAAACCCTCTTCTCTTACATCCATGTATTAATTATCTAATGAAAGTGTTTATGTGTACAAAAGTCAGCGTCGGATAAGCGAACAAATATCTTAAAACGCGAGTTGAAGATCTGCCAAGTTGGGAATTCGTTTGTGTACGCCCATACAGCATGCTTCCTCCACAAGAAACAAAACACTGTAAAACTGAGTGGAACATTAATAAAAATTAGATATATTTTTTTGAACATTAATAATTCTAAGCCTCTGTATGAAATTTCAATACATTTATTTACTTTGTAGATATTCAGGTCTATATTAAACTATTACGGTGAGATTGTGAATCTCCGAATAAACATTGAAACTATAGCAATTTATAATAAAATGATTAGTGAATTTTATAAATAATTTATTTACTGGCAATAATGTATCATCTAAGAAATTTTATCAGCGCGCCATTTTATACAGATAACTAATCAGGTTAAAGAAATATAAACATTCTCCTAGCCTATATGTTATGCTGCTCATGAAGAAACTGTTTCCATATTGCAGATGCCTGCTTTTAGTCTTAGCAGGAAGCGAAACTGACGAAGCACAGAAAACCACAAAATACATGCATACATTTTCTAAATTCAAAGCATGATGAGGTGATGGTCTATTAATTACACCTAAGCTACAGTTCTGTCGCATTAAGGAAATTGCTTTCTCCCTTCGTGAAACAGCATAAATCCATGGGAGAGGAAAGTAACAAAATTACAAGATTTGGAAACAGCCCTTTATTTCGGCGAAATTATTCTAAACCTCGTTACCAACAGAGAACAAAAGACGAAAACTTCAAAAACGAAAAATTTGGCATTCCATTTACAAATTACTGTCTAACAAATCAGACAACATGGGACGTTTTATAGAAACCTACAGAAGATGTCTGTGACTAGCATCGGAGAGAAAAAAAACCCTATGGAAAGACAGACACGATCTTATAGCTAAGAGTTAATTTCGTATATTCTGTGTAAAAAGCTTGAAATAACTTCCCGGAGTAAAATCCTTATTCAGAAACATGTATTCAATAAACTCCCCGCCTTTTATGCAACCCGTACGTATATTACCGTCTTTACAAGCGCCCCCCGGCGGCCGCTATCCTGAGTCAGATGAAAACACCAGTGATACATTTTAATATTATCCTCTCATTAACGTCTAGGTCTTTTCCTTCCAGCTTAACAATCTATTTTTATGCCACAAAAAGTTAAGTGGCAACCACATCCACACGCGACGTAAAAACTCTACGTTCAAATATATATCACAAACATGCACTTAAAGAATATTCCCCTGAAGAGATTTATTATCGCAAGGTCGAAGCAATTACATGACAGAGTACTTGAGACCATATTAATGAAACGCACAAGTTGTTTGCAAAACCCTATCTCACATTCGTGTCGAGACATTAAAAATTCCTCGAGGGCGTCCATAACATGTTTCCGAACAGAAGCGACGCAGACATCGACGTCAGGTGTTTTAGTCCCACGAGGCTAATAAGTCTTGAGCCATTCTTTTTAATACAGGCTTACGTCACACAGCGCCCGCCCTGCTTCGCTGGAGCACCCACCAAGGTCTCTGGTCTTCTTTATAGCTCCTTTATTCCCTGCCTTCACTCTCAATTAATTTTCTCTAATTTTTTCCTTCTTCCCTATCTATTATTTTCACCTCATTTTAAAATTATTTATACTTGATTTTAACATTTTATTTCCGCTTTGGTGTCTTAATGTATTCAAACCAACCTGTCTTCCTGTAATCCCTTCCTATCTTCTTTAAGTTTTATTTCTCCCTTCTCTTATTCTTTATTTATCACTTTTCCATTTTATTGATTTCCTTCTAATTATATTTATAATTTTTTTCCCCACATTCTAAGTAAAACTACCCAAAACCAACTTAATCCAACCTAACCTCATCGAATTTAACCCAACCTAACCTACACCAACATAACCTATAACTAACAAAGTAACCAAATATAATCCAATGTAAAACAACCTAACCCAACGTAACCTAACCTAACCTAAATTACGCTACACAATTAAACACGATTAACGTATCGACGCGAAAAGAAGATTCCCAATAAAGCCAAGACAAGCATCTAATAATTCTTTCTTATATTAACCAAATTCAAACTGGTCATTCAAGTTTTAACATTTCTGAAGCTGTCAGAATATCAGCATAATTTAAGTTGTATATAAGTAGGGATTTTTAAACATTGTATTCAAATAATTCAGTTTTGCACGCTATGGTTTAACCGTAAATCAAAGTAAAGAGGGAATAATGTGTAAAAAAAATAGTAACACTCTCTCTACTGGAAACGAAGTTTGTTATGAAACACCTTAAACTGAGAATTTCAATCGTACTTAGAGCGATTATTTTTTGATACGTGGGCTATCCTTCATAAACCAGTTTATGCATCCCATGTCTTTCCTTTATCCGCTCTGTTGCCGCGTTACGTCTAAAAGGTAAAGTTTTCAAACGGAAATACCAGTTGAAATAATGCCACTAGCTTGCAGTTAGAGTTATTTTTTAAATACCTCTTTTAATTTCCTTTATGACTAAGTAATTCTTAAATCTTAATGCGATTTATTCGAATGTGTCTTTATACTGTGTAAACGTGATAAAGGACATTAAAAATGTTCGTATTCTCCGATATCAAAAGAGATTTTCTAAGAACAAAATAATACAATAGTATAACAAGTCGTTGGAGTGTTTTACTATAAAATGGGACTGAGAAAAATGACTGTTAAAAATGTGGAAAAATGGCTAAAATCTTAGGAACACAATTTTTCCGCAGTTTTGACAAAACGTGTTTCGACATGGAGGTAAAGAACATATAGCAAAAATGCACTTTTAAATCTGTAAAATTAGCAATTTAACCAGAAGTAAAATCAATTATTGTTTCAATTACAATAAAAACATTTTTTGTACCCATAGCAGTTTAAAATTCCATATCTTTCATAGCCTTAGTTTCCGAGATATATTATTTTTATTTTGGATACCTTTCATCCGGACACTCTGTATAGTATCGTGATTATATTTCTACTAGCAGAGCTGTTTTAATCCATAAAGGCAAAAGTTGTTAATACGCGTAGAATGATGTATGAAAACCAATAGCTTGACTCGACAATTCGCCACAAAACACGAGACAGAGTTCTCAAACACCATATTCAAGGACTATGATGGACCAGAAAACAAAACAAATAAATAAATAAGTAATTTGAAATAAAATATGGTACGTTGTAATATCTAAACCATGCGCAATCATATCCAATCTTGTTCTGCCCACTGAAGAATGAATTTCGTGATCACTAGTGTTTAGTAAAATGCAGTGAAAGAATGTTTACTCCACGCAGACAAGAGATTCTTCAAGTTTAGGAACTGTAGTCCAGACAAAAGTATTTGTAAGGATTGCGTGCTATGCAGAAACAAAATATTCACAGCTTGGAGTGGATTCAATATCTCATACATTCCTTCAGATAAAATAGAAGAATTACATTTATGGAATTTCAATCAAAAGTATGATTTTATTAAAGGTTAATCAGATATCTGTAAGATTAATTCTGGGCAACCATTAATTATCACATACTTTACTTTCTATACACGAAACATAGCTCATAATCAGTCATCGATTTTGTAACTCCGAATTAAGATTCAGAAGAGAAAGAGTACTGTAAAATCTGTACAAATAAATTTCAGGGTTGTTAGAGAAAGAAAATTAAGAATATCTATCTGAAAACGTACCATACCACATTACATTTTTCAATATTGAAATTCGTTTGCCTGCAAGACAAAGACTATTAATTCTAACTTGGTTTCGGATACGATATTTTTCAGTGTAAGTCCATGTAATGTAGAATATTCCAAGTATGAAAAATCTAACTGAAGATAACATTCATATTATAATTAATTTTTCACCGAAAGTCGCGTTCGAGTGGTTAGGACTCCTGCGTCATTTTCCCGAGATTACGGGTTTAAATCTGGACCAAAAATACATAATATTTTGACAGAGGCTTTTTATGGCTTTCTGCAGTTCCTTCAAGCAAATTCCGGGGATAATGACTTAAATTAGACCTCAAACACCTCCTTCCAGTTCATCGTCATATCATCCGACGCCATGTATCATTAGTATTAAACAAAACACAAATATCATTTATGCTTCGATGTGAATCTTTGGTGTCATTGTCCATTTACAGAGTAGACTATGTAATTTGTTCTTGTGGTCAAGAAATTTTATTTACCATAAACCATACTTTAATGACGTTTAACTTTCCTTCATAAAATTTACTTCGAGACTAGATATAGTCTAATACTTTAATTTTCGTGTATATAAGACATATTTTCAGCAATTTCGGTGTATATACCAGTCGATTTCCGAACTTTCTTGTAACGTAGAGATTATTTCAAGAGAAATATATTTGTGTACAGTTATCACCGTAACAAATTACATACGGTATTTATGTCTCGAACATATTCTGATGGTTCACGTAGCCCATGAGTTACTGTCTATAAGTAAACCCAGAACACATATACACAAATTATTACTACATTCATTTGTGACAATTATTACATAAAAACTTCAACAACTAATAAATTCACTGGCAGGCGAAAGGCGGATACAGAACGCAACATATATCTCGCTTTGAGCAAAAGGTGATTTTTGTGTCAAAAGTCTCAACAACTACAAACACATAAAGAGAAAAAACACACAGACAGAGCCAGGGAAAGTGAGAGAGTTAGAGAGAGATAAGAGGGTCAGATCACGTACCCTGGCTGGGGCGAGGTCGGCACTCACCCTGTATCCGCCCAAGTTGTTGACGACACACGTAAACATGGCGTCTCGACCTTGTGGTATCGTGACGTTCTCCAACGGATACAAGAAATCGGGCTCGAAGCCAAGTGCTGCAGAACACAAAAACATATGCTTTAACATCTTTGGCGATGTTATTAGAGATAAAGTGGGATTATATTTTTAAGTAAGACTAATATTATTTCTATCTGACGTAAATCGTGATGAAGCTGTTCTGTAATACGAGCAGGTTTATTACAAAAGATGTTGTTCACCGATCAGAATGCAAATGTATTTCTTATTGGGAACTTGTTTATGGTTAGAACTGATTGAAGGAAGGTAGTGGTCACTTCATAGCCACGTGACACACAAAATATCCCATAGGGCGTTTTTGCGCACAGGGACTTACGAATCGCTCTGTATAAATAAACGTTAATTCATATAAAAATCGAAAATCCCCCAGAAAGTCGTCATGGCCTTGTTTCCTACCTAAACGTAAAATGATATGACATAATAATTTGAGCGAAAGAATTTCCACGAGATCTGTGCGTTCCTGCTTAATTGACACGGCTGTCTCCAGAGACGGACTGGAAAATCTCCCTACAAACACGTATTTTTTTTATAAATTCATGTTGGTAAATGATTGAAAGTGTTATATTTGTGTGATAAGAGAAAATAGACAGGTGTATTTTCACTTATAATATCACATATAACAGGAATATAAATAACAAAAATATATTTTATGTCTTTGTCACGATCTTAAATCAACGAACAGTTCGACGCTGGTGACAGACTGACTTTTTGTTTGCCACAAAAGAAAGCCAATTTGTGGGAACTCTACCTGTCGGAGAGACAGGGAGACCGTGCCGACCTGTACCAGAGGGAGAATTGAGCGTGCAGAAGACCGCGGTAGGACGACAACGAGAAAACTTCTGCCAAGGTCCGCACGATCCCGTACACCAAATCTTATACAAAGAGACAAAAAGTCGAAATGGCTTACTTTTTCTTCATTTCATACTTTGGTCCAGCGACAGATCTGACACTGCAGACATTCTTCTCCACCTCATCAATTACACCGACCCCATACCCACGACAGTGTCATCTCTGCCCGATATTTCTCACACCTAAACATCTTACACTCCGGAAAAGTAATCTTCAATTTCTGTCTACAGTACGAGTCTTAGGCAAGGTTAACACTAATTCTACATAAAAAGTTGCACTGTATTTATTTGATGTTTGCCTAAACTTTTATATCGGTAGTCATTATAAGAAAATATTCACATCTTATAAACATAAAAATGAAAAAATAATTATTTGGAAATTTCTGCAACCTACTTAATTAACGAAACATGCTATTTCCATGTAAAAGAGTCTTTCTTAAGAAACAATGAGTTGATCAGCTAATACTTATGGATTTTTATAGAATTTAACTTCTATTATTGTGTCTACATGAGCCCGCGACCGGTCTCTGTCCGGAGCTTGATTTAATAAATCTACACCCTCACATTTTCTTTAAGATTCGCTTTAATATTATCTCTTATAACTGATATAACAAACATATAAAATAATACAAATATATTTATTCATATATTCTTGAGAGATTTGAGGTTTTCACGGCGTAGAACACGAAACGTCTCCATTAAAATGATCAATTGATTAATTATGTCTAAATAAATAATAACTGTTTATTCCGCAAATTATAGGGGGAAAAAAACTCCGTTCGCAAAACTGAGAGTTACCAATTGTTACAGCAAGCGATATTTCGCAAACCACAACTACTCGATTCGGAAAGGCGGGCACTGTGACGGTTTTAATAATTTATGAATCAGCCTGTACTAACATTCTTCGATTTTTCTCATCCTTGCTCCCTCTTTATGTGTAAAAGTCCGACAGGCAGTTCTGAAGTTCCGCACTGGTCACTGAGGTCTTCTGAGACCAATAAGGGTCAATCTTCTTTGTATCCCTTGGGGATAGGGCAGAGGCAAAGGCTTTCTTGGGGTTGTCGGATTTCAGAAGACGCAGACGGCCAATTCAAGGAAATTGTTTGAGAACGTCAAAGTGTGTGCCAAGTCCAACTACAGTTTAAAACATCAGGATGTGTGTCATGACCAGTGGGTTTCCGAAAGTGCATGAGACGACATTTTCCCCTACTGCTAAAATCTCGTACGCCATTGCTCATCGGCACATATCTGTCAACAAGCGACAATGGTACCCAAAGCTACCATCTGTATTCTATTCCAACTTTACAGGGCTGAAAATACCTTGAATTGAAAACGGGGAAAATGTAAGGCATAGCAAATCTTATTCACGTTCCTAATAAAAGTTCGAGAAGATGCGAGTTTGTAAGTCAGTCTTGGGGGGGTCTAGCGTCGTTTTTATTCACACAGAACCAACAGGGGAATAAGCCTCGAATTAAAAATTCGGTTCCTGCAAAAAACTTTTTCTCCTCTCTCGACAGTGTTGCCGAATTAATCCTGCCCAAGCGCATACGACGCGGATTTATATGAAAGAAGAGACGCGACAGGCGAGCGCTAGTTCCAGTGAATTACTGTAGGTGTCACTACGGGAAACATAAATCGTCCTATGTCTTGATAGAGTTTCAGTTGAGCACGGCTTCACACGCCCCGTTTTCTGAACACCAACCACACAGCAGTGATGTGACATAAAATATTTATTACTCGTTGTTAATAATCTTTTTCTTTACAATCATATAAGACTGTAACTAGTTCCGTCTAGTTGATACCTTCATTACGCGAGGATTAAAATACCGAGTTCCACAAAACGTTTTTCTTTTGTACAAAAAACATGTTTGGGTTAAAATCTTTAAGTGTCCTAATAACGTAATTAATTAAGAGAGCACGGAAAAATAATTAAAAATCTTTGATACACCACTGTATACGCATACTAATTATAAAATGTTCACCAGCTAAGGATTAGATCCAAGAGTACATATAATCAAGGCGTACGTAAGGTAATGAACCAAAAGTTTCGAAATTTGAAGTTATGAAACTTTCGTATAGGCTGCTGTTATAAATACTGGACTAACAGATGTGTCTGTTGCAATACGAAAGATAAATTTAGATTACTCATCGTTACTAAAAGCTATGAACAATTCAGGGTGAACTATCAACGTTAGCGCCTTCATGGTTTTAAATTAATATTTCTTTAGACCATTCCAACTCTGGGATTGTGAGTTTGAGCCCAATTTGGAAATTTATACTTCCTTACGTAAAGTGCTTAAAATCGAAGCAATCAGAAACTCGTAAATATAAGCCCGAATATATACACATCTGCCAATACATCTACGTGATATATAACCCTAATCACTCAATAGATTTTAACGAAATTCATAACATTTAACGTTGCAGGTAGAAATGAATTATGGTCGAACATAAAACATAATTTTTGACTCGAAGTTCAAATAGAATTCCAACATAAAAATAAATCTTACAAATAACTGATTAATGACGTCATTAAAATCCACAAAATTTATTTCAAACATTTTTCGATGCAGTAAATATTTGAACAAATGCAACGAAAACAATTATTTTGCTCTGTGCAGTGTAGTGTGGGTAATACAAAAATTTGTTTTCATAAGTAGCATACGTTCAAATTGAGATAAGGTAGATCTCGATTTGACATAAAGGAATCGAAGGAAAGATAATTTATATTCTTTTGGTCTGTGTCCGTACCACGAAGAAAACACGACCTTTTACCATTATGAAGGAAATACACGCTGTTTACACTGAAAATTATACGAAACATAAAATATTGCAGAAATATATATTTCCATAGAGGTGGGAGATATATGTATCACTAGGTTTTAAAGGTTTAATAACTGAAGTTTAATTTC